TTTCTGTTATAGAACTTTTGAAGAAACATTGGAGACAAGGTTGAAAATTCAAAGTAATTAGCTGAGAACTCCACTAAGCCTCATGAGATATAAACATTTTCAAATAAATTTCCTCTGCAAGATACTATATCTTTAATTGCACAGACATTTGAAGGTTAATATTGTCCCCTTTAACTAAAACTAAAACCATAAAAAACATATTCATTACTTGAAAAAAAAAAAAAGATTATCATTGTATACTTGGCGGCTTGTTTGTAACACTGTGCTACAACTAACCCCGCTGTGTATTACATATTTTAAGCCTAGCTAACAGTTGCTAGGAATTGCTGACATGTTTCAAAACGGTGTTATGTTTGAGCCAACAAGACAGTGATTAAAGCAATATAAAGTTAGATTTGGAAACGTATACACCCAACTCAGAAACTGAAGAAAAAAAAAAAAAAAAACAATGATGAAAAAATGTACTTGCATGGTGTCAAAACACTCTTTACTCCAGTATCTTCACAAAATATTACCAAAACTTTCCACAAATCCACGCGAGACTGTCTTCTGGCAGTGAAAGAAAAATAGCGTAAATACAACCTGTGTGACCCTGAGTAACTACATAAAAGGTCCGTGTTACATTTAGCCCCGCGTTAGGTTGTGCCCCGCGCTCCCCTACGCTTATAGACAATACACAAAAGGTTCTTTCCAGGGGAATATTCCACTTATTACGTCTTTGGCAGCATTTTGGGACAGCAAGCCACTTTTCTCAACAACACCCAGTTGTTTTTACACAGACTGTCCTGCATTTTATCCAAAGCACAGAAGGTCAGTGAGCATTCAGCATAGCCAGTTTTTAGGGGTTTCTGCACCAGATTAATCACAATATTTCAATGGCTTACAGTATATTTTGCCAAATAATAGAACTGCATGTTATAATCCCCATCAAATTGGGCTTTATGTTTTTATTAATATACCCAGCTGGGTAAATATCACTTTCAGTTCTTTGAGTGGAGTATGTCATGATGAATTCATGGGAAGGGGAAAAGCCGCCCTCAGTTTCAACCACATGTATGTAATGCTTCTCCAAATGTGGAAGTGAAAAATCACATCAATTTGAGGCGTGTCATTGCTCATTGCTCTCTCTCTCCCCCACTCTGGCAGTCCTGCTGGCCAAAGGCTCATACAATGACTGAATTGTGCCTCGCATTCTTTATAGTAACATGCTTCTGAATTTATTGTATGTGTCAGCCTTCATAAAGAACTGTGTAAGTCACAGCACAAATGAATGACATTAGCTATCGTTAATGACGTATGCAGCCAGAGAGAAATGACTCATATTAAGACCTCTAGCAAGCCTTAATTTTACAGTGCAGTAATAGTGACCCTTTCCCCCTGGCTGCATTGGATCCAGAATATTTTCCCCATTAATTATAAATTATAAAGAGTTGTAAAAGGTAAAAGATGGTATGGAGAGCAGTGACTTTTTATGCTGAGTGCCTCTGAAATGAAACGGGATAACTCGATCTCACGGCAATTCGTCAATATTTTACGAGGTGGCTGATTCGCACAAATTCTTATGACCTGATTCATACGAATTCGTAAGATTTTTGCTAAAGCGTACATATTTTACGAGTTGCCCAATTTCTATAAATTTGTACGAATGACCTCCCCCTGACCCCGCCCCTAAACCTACCCATCAGGGATTAGACAAATCGTACGAATTCGTACAAACTGGACGTGAGTGTTGGACAGTGTTTTTGAATGAATTTCTTCAAGTCGCATCAAGTTAGCATACTTTCAAAAGGTGCTTTATTGTATTTTGATTGTTATCGTAGACATCAGTGTTTATAGCCAATAAACTTCCATCGGGATAGCCGTAGTACTTTGTAAAAGAAAAAATAAACACTCAAAATAGTCAATCTTGGGCCCCGTGAACCAAAGATAAAAACCACTAGTATTTACCAAAGAAAGTACTTATTTCTCTGAAGTGGATATGAATATAAAAAGGAAAGATCAAATAATTTCACAGGCTTTTATTAATTTATTTTTGTTTACATTTAGACACCTTATAGAAGGTGAAATGGCTTGAATAAAGGGCTTGATTTAATAAAAATATTAAAGGATGTAGTGCCGAAAGATCATTACTGTAAACGACCCTGCGTTCTTGAGGCATGTACCGCTCTGTTGTTTTGACGCACCGCTCACTTTAATCTGTAGAAGAGGACCAAGCGGTAAAATGGAGCAATTTTGTCCTGCGGTCCGGATGGAACTAGGGTCCGGAACAGAATCATAGTCTGCCGTTTGAATATCGCCGCCCTATTAGCATACATACTCATATTAGAAATTAAGTATTTTATAATAAATGTAAGTAGCCTAAATTAAAATAATTGATAATATAATTGATATAATAAATAATATTCATATATGTGGCAAGCAGGACGAGGCCGAGGGACGTTAGAGAGCGGCGCGAGGCTGGTGGCATGATTAATAATGAACGACACCTGTGAGATGCACCGGTCTCGCATCTCTCACGGAGTAGATTAAAGAGCAGCGATGACAGTGAAGATGGAGAGAGGAACAGGCCTGATTTTCTCTCCATCTTCACTGTCGTCGCTCCTCCTTTATCCTTATGCTCCTCCATGAGAGATGTGAGACCGGTGCATCTCACAGATGTCGTTCATTATTAATCATGCCACCAGCCTCGCGCCGCTCTCTCACATCCCTCGGCCTCGGCCTACTTGCCACAGTATAGTAAATAAAAATATAGATTTTCTTTAAAAAATAATTTAAAAGTGCAAATTGGTGACTTTGAACAAAGGCATACTGTGGATTAACAACCTCGGATAGTTAAAGTTTGTGTAATACAGTAGGTCCGTCTTTAATGGTTTATCAACAGCCCTTTTTCTCAAAATGTTATTAATTCTCCCAAATTCTCCTTTTTTTATCTTTTAATTTTTTTTTTTTTTTTAAGTTTTGTGGAATTGCACAAAAAGATCGGCCACTAATCAGGCGACTATAACTTCATGGAAAATTGAGATGCCGCAAGACGACAAACAGAATTAGGGACCAGGTGACATAGAAGGTCCTGGAGGGCAGGGCAAAGCCGCAACGACGAGCAAAAGAGTGCCAAGGACTGAGGTCCTGGATGGAAGGAGGAGCCTGCCGGAGCTAGAGGGGTGGAGGAATGAAATTCCGGAAGTCCATGGTGCATAAAGCGATGATTTACCAATGTGGAGCCAGAGGGACAAGGAAGCCCATTGGAGTTGTAGGGTAATTGGACTTGAGCTACACTTAATCCCCTCAAACTCCACCAGTATTCCCTCTAGGATGAGTTCAGGCTGGTCTGTCCCTGGGCTGGTGGTGAAAGGTATGCTGTTTTCCTCCTCAATCACGCAGATGGTAAAGGGCGAACTGTTGGGGAGGAGTACCTAGTCCTTAAACTTCCCTCGGGTTCTGTTTTGTGGAAAAAAACACATGCAGGTAGTGGTCATCATAATGCCCAGATTCCAAAAGCCTGCATGTGTCTCTCTTAACTGCCGCTAGATACATCCTTTGGTCACTTCTTTAGTCACAGCTGGGCAGCAAATAAAGATAAATACATGATCTAAATGTAAGCAGTATTAAGTTTTTTACACAGAATAGGAACAATGAACAGGAACAGTACAACTGGCTTAAACTTGACGTGAACTGACATAATAAACACAGGGCTTAAATGCACAAGTGAATGAAACAATAGATGTAACATATAACCAAATCCTTGAGAAACCATTGCAACTAAAAGGCCACATAGCTGAAAAAACATAGCAAACCCAGACAATCTGTTACATTTATTAATCTATTCACTGTAGTCACTTTTTTAATCAATTTAATGCATCCTTGATGAATAAAAGTATGAATTTCTCTATATTCATTTTTCCCAAAAATGTTTGAATGGTCTCATTGTTTCCACAAAAATGCTAAGCAAATACTGGTTTCAAAATTAATATTAATTATAATAATAAATGTTTCTTGAGCAGAGATTTCTGAAAGGCTGTGACACTGAAGAGTAATGCTGGAAAAAATGCTGAAAATTCAGCTTTGTCATCACAGGAATACATTACATTTTAAATGTATTAAAATAGAAACTAGTGATAATATTTCACGATATTGCTGTATTTTTGATTTTTGATTACGAAATGCAGCCTTTGTGAGCATGATTGTAATGTTTCCAAAATTTACAGATATAAACTTTAGTCTTTAGTCAGTTCATTTGTTTGGTTCTTTTGCTATTTTAGGCTGTATAGAACCTTTGAAATAACTGAAATAATTTGTCAAAGTTATATGAAACTGTATGTCAAAACCTGCCCAGAATTTTATCTCACTAAAAATAATCACACCAATGTTTGTCAACCATCAGAATCGACCATTCAACTGCCGCTTGGTATAGGCTAAAATAAAAATAGGCTTCATAATGTCACCCAATGCTGGTCAGTCTCGCACCACCTTTTGACATCAAAGTGCTTCTTTCTGAGGTCTGGATTAGGCTAATTGGTCTAATCCTACTTCGAGCACAATTGGCTTTATGCACAGCTGCACTACTTCCTGAACTTCAGCCAGCTCCTTTGTTTCCTGTCTGCCATTATTGGACAAGCTGATTAATCCAGGTGTGCCTGACCTAGTCCCAACGACAATAATCAGACACACCTGGATTAATCAGTTTGTCCAATAATAACAGACAGGAAACGAAGGAGCTGGCTGAAGTTCAGGAAGTAGTGCAGCTGTGCATAAAGCCAATTCTAGTCTTTTTTTTTTGTTTGTTTTTTTTCATGTAGGGGGCACAACCGAATTAAATCAATTTTTTATAATATAAATATAATTTATATCGTACACATGAGCATTATAGCTCGTATAAAATGTGTGAATATGTTTAAGCGTGCTGCTCAATCGCGATTCCCCCGCCCTCCCTTCCTTCCCTGCTGCACGCGGCGCTAATTGGTGCTCTCTGCTCGAGCCAGCAGACACGAGCCCCACAGACGCGGACAGACACCTCAGCCAAATTCACATTGAGTCCAGTCACACTGAGAGAACAGTTCATCAGTCTTTTTATTTGTTTTCGTTTTATGTGTCTCCCCTCAATTAAGTTGAAGAGAGCTTAGTTTGGGGACAGCAGAATCGTCTTCAAAACATTTCAAGCATGACTTTGGATAATAACGGATTTTGAAGTGTCAAACTGCGTCTCAGACTTCCAGAAAATAACGACAGACACCAGCTCTCACAGGTAACGTTAGGCTACTCTTTATTAATATTTCATTATTTTTTTTGCATTTCAATGGTAGCCTAGATTCTGGGATTATGGGAAGTAATATGCCCATCCTCAGCAGTTCATACATTTTGATAAGCTTTTAAGGTGCATCACTCAGAATAAGTGACAGTTTGTTTTATGACGCGGGCGATAGTTAGTGATCTTTCCTTAGTTAGGCTATAATATACATAATAATATGTTATTAAAGATACTGTTAGCAATTAAAACGGTGGCATGGTGTGTTGTAATATGTGTGATGCAGACTTTAGGGTATAAAATGAATTGCTTACTCTCGTGAGGATACATTTGCAGGCTGTTCTGGTAACTTAGCCTAGTTGATCGTGAATGGCCTTTCACTTCTGCTGTTATCTTTTGGTGATAGCAAACATGTTTCATTTCAGAAGATTTAATTTAGGCCTATTAAACATCCTCTTACAGGCAAGCAACTTCGTGTAAAGCAAATATTTGTCTTTAACAAGTGCGTATGATAAAAAAAGCCACTTTACAAAAGCACAAATGTATTGACACACAAGATTTATTTATTTGCATATTATTATTATACATGTATTCTTTTATTTCCATATTAATTTATTTTAGATTCGAAATTATTTTAGTTTAAAATGTAATGTATAAATAATAATATTTTAATAATAAAATGATGTGATACAGGCTCCATGGGGACACTACCAGACAGACTATGTGGCATTACGTCACTTAAGTGTGGACTTGGAGGAGGAGGGTCACAAAGGCTTAGGGCAGCATTTAAGGATCATTATCATTAGAATTGACCTCATGTCAAAGTAGGTTTTTGTCCTAAATTGTCTTAAATTCCAACTTTTATGGATTAAACACCACAAAAACTCCCATGGATGACTTTAAATTAAGGAAAAGATTAATAAGGATGTGAAAGCAGATAAGGTTTGTTTTCAAACGGCTAGCCAGATTTGCTGGTGAGGAATGTTTAATGGGAGTAAAGTGTGTCTGTTGTGTCTGTCAAGGGAATGAAAGATGGGAGATTCTCAGCCTGCCTCTGGTCCTCCTCACACGTCCACGCCAACAGCTATAGCTGGGATTGGCGTTACCTCTTGACTCTTGAAGGGGACTGAAGTAAGCCAGGACGCAGTACTCGAGTGGGTTAGAGGGGGCTCTTTCTCTTCACAGCGGTATTTGCCTCGTGTTAACTGGCCGGATAATACCTCTCTAAGATGCACGCAGACTTTATGGAAACTCTAACACACCCCACTGTTTTATGGGGTGAGACCAAGAGAAAGTCTCAGTCATAAGCCACAGATGGAGAACACACAATTTATAGACTATGTGAGTGTTCCTTTTTAGTATCGCCTTATTAAGATAGATATTAGCAGTTCATTTATCTATATTGATTATCTATATAAAACATGAGCATAACATTCCGTACAGTATAGTTGTACCTGTGTTCTCAATATAATGTTTTGCAGAAGCAAGCTGGAGCTCTGACATAAATGTGGAGAGGAAAACATGATACTATAGGGTGGGGAGCTGGATTTCCTCTGTGTATGCTGAAGAATCAAAGTAGGGCAGTAAGTGGCAGATGGATTCTAGTTGCTCTGAATGTGTGTGTGTGTCCGTGTTTAAGTGTGTTTACTGTACGACCGTGGAGCATAGTGCCACCTGGGTGTTAAAAGTCTCTAACACAGAAGTGAGATTTCTTTTTTAGACTTCTGTCTCTTTTTCTCGTGCATTTTCTCTCCGTCTGTCTCGCCTCACTGTCTCTCCTCACTACATCAGCAGTATATGAGGCAGTAAGACAAAAAAAAAAAAAAAAACTTGATTCTTTTAAATTGTAGACTTCTTGACTCATTTAGAAGGCAAAAGGCTGTGCCCTAGTGCAGGAACTTCAGGTTTAACTGTTCTTTTTTAAAAGAAAAATCTGAGCTTGGCATGCAAAAGTGCAATCATAATGCTTGGGTGATTGCCATTATGCCATGTTTTTTTACAGTAATTGCCAGTGTTGCCAGGACAGATGAAAAAAGCCAAAAAAGTTTGAAACTAAAAAATGGTATGTTCCCGTACAATTAAATCATTAGCAGCAAAGCAGGGCAATTTCTTTCATTTGGATCATGAGATGCATGGTCAGTGGCTTTATTTCATCAAATAAATGTCAGATTTCTCACAGCTGATTGGTCCAATTTTGGTTGGCGATCTCTTACCTGGAATGAAACTAGAGCCAGACCGATATATCTGCAGGCCGATATTATCGGCCGATATTAGGCATTTTCTAAAATATCGGTATCGGCAGTTATAATGGTCGACAAAAAAAAAAAATAAATAAAAACGGACGAATCACGCTTCAACCATGTCATGAGTGTTGGAGTTGTATAGTTTGTCCACCAGAGGGCACTCTACAACGTAGTGTATAACGCGCCACACATCCTGCAACCTGCTGATCCTGCCAGAGTCGGGCAGAGAGAACCAGTTATGCATTATCGTATTATTTTAGTTAACTCATAATTAACTACAAATAACTAATGTTAAGGAAATCTGTTAATATTTTGTTGCACGTTTCTAAAATAAAAAAAAATAATAATAATATCGGCCGTTATATCGGAATATCGGATTTTAAAACCAACAAATATTTGTATCGGCATCGGCCTTCAAAATCCTTTATCGGTCGGGCTCTAAATGAAACCTCTGCAGGTTAGCTGTGCAATTTAAGTTACCATGGCGATGAATACTACCAAAAACCAATCCATCTTCTTAATGCCGAAAAAACAGAGTTTGCACAAATTAAACTCATACTTGGGTAGAGCCACCAAAACTTGCTTCATAAAATAGTCTGAGTCTGGTTTTTTTTTTAGTTTTTTTTTTCACTGATACTGTTTTAAGTGTGTGGATGTTTGTATCCTAAATTGACATGTTGCGTATTCTCACCTGGACACCCTTGATAAAAACCCCAAACCATGTCAAACCCCTCGTTTCTTATTCATCCTTCACACGGCCTAAACCTTACACCATCCATCCGCCCCTTCTTCACCTGTGTGTGGGTAACAGTACAGTTTTTAATCCGCTCACTCCAAACACAGCTAATCGACAGGAGGCATTATCCGAGCACTTTGTCTGCTCTCAATTACGGCTATGGAGGTTCCAGGATGGATTGAATTACCCATAATTCCCTAAACCTGTCACTCACTGACAGACAGACTGACCGAGTGTCAGGTATTCCGGGCACATAATGAGGATTGGGAATGTTGGCAGGGAGGAATTTCTTCGCTCTCTTTCTGCTCTCTGTCATTAGATATGCACCTGGCTCTCCTCGAGCTAAATGCAGGTATGAGAGCTAAAACATCATTCTTTAAAGATGAGAAGGGGGATTAAAAACGTATCATTAAACATGGACTTGCCTCAAGCAAACAGGTCTAAAGAGAGAGCTTCACCCTTTTTAATGTTTGGAGAACACAATTGAAAGCTTTTTTTTTTACTGTTCTCTTTCCTCTGAGAATATCTTTTTCATTTGCCAGGTGCAATGATCCATGGATGATGATGATAAACTTCATGAACGGCTGTAGATATATATATATAAAAAAAAACTTTTTAAGTCAAATATACAGACTGTAGGAAACAGTTGTTGATGATTAGAAATTAAATTTGAGATGAAATTGTTATGACATCGTCCTGCTGTGTGATTGAGCGTTTAAGTTGAGGCCAAAGGACTGTCCAAACTCAAAGTGTCATGCGAACACTATTCAACGAGTTGAACTAAAGGTCTGCTTTTACTTTCGCTCCATATGTGAGCTGTCAGTCATTCAGTTACGTCCTGAGGCAATTATAATGTATTCAAAACAAACAAGGGGAAATAAGATTTTACAAATGTTTTCAGTATAGGTATTAAGTTGAGTTGTTTTCACATTCCAGGTCACAGAACCATGTCTCACAGATTTTAAGTGGAATTATGCCTTTATATATATTTTAAATGAGCAACTTTTTAATCTCAGTCTGTGTGAGTAAGTGGCTGCATATGTATGTCATTGCATTTATGTCTATTCTGAAAATAGTTAACTTGGAAAGAAGAGTACCATCATGTGATCTCAACATGGCACAGTCTCATAAAGGGACATCCCAGAATAAAACAGCTTGTTCTAAACAGCCTGGAGAGTGATATCTGGATTCTATATCTAATGTGAGCATACTTTTAAGGATACTTAAAAATCTATGTTTATTTCTTCACATGTAAAACATTTAAATAGATAAACTAAAATCACCTTTATTGTGAAAATATCCTGCATGGTCTGCACTGTACACATGACAATGCTATTGGTATTTCTGAGAAAACTGATGCTTGGGAAACTACATAAACAATAAATGCATTCAAAATACATTCAATACAATACATTCAAAAATAGTAAAAGCGCTCACTTTACATTTACACCAGTTGGTGTCAGTATAAATTCCAAGACGAAGACCATATATTGCAAACTTGTTGACGAATTATAACATGGTGCAAGTGGTTTTTGGATATTTTGATACAAAATTCTTACATATTACCTTTAAAGGTGCAATGTGTAATATTACTGAGGATCTGTTATTGACAGAAATGCAATATAAGATCCATAACTATGTGTTCAGTGGTGTCTCAATGAACTGTTATGTTTTTATTACCTTAGAATGAGACATTTATATCTACATAACCTTTTATGAAGGTTGACAGGGGTTGGACATTGAAACTGAAACACTGGCCAATGTTGAAGGTTTCACATCTATATGCCTGGCGGCCAATCTTCAGAGTGAAGCACGGGTGGATCAGTGATGGTTTGAGCTCCAATATCATGACAATCCTGATTGTATTTGATGGACACGACACTGCCGAGGACTACCAAACACTTCTGGAGGATCGAGAGCACCTGATGCTCAAACCGTGTATCAGCATGATCATGCACCAACACACACAGCAAGACTTGTGACAGAAGGGTTTGATGAAGATGAAAGTGACGTTGAACATCTCCCATGGTCTGCACAGTCACCAGATCTAAATATTATTGAGGTGTTTTGGTGAAGCGAGTCCACCAGCATCCTATAGTGACCTGGACACTGTTCTGGAAGAGGAACGGCTCATAATCCCTCTGGTCACTGTGAAGGACTTCTATCTGTCATTCCCAAGATGAATTGGTGCTGTATTTGGATGCAAAATGAGGCCCTCACCATTCTAACAAATTATTGTGTTGTAAAACCAGGTGTTTCAGTTTCATTGTCCAACCCCTGTAACTCTCCTGACTGCTTTGTCGTATAAAAATGGTGGAATTTGATTGGTCAGATCACATGTCTGTCAATCAAAAGTTAGTTTCGTTTTCAAACTAGCATATTTTCAGGGCACAATAACAAAACGGTTCTTTCCCGCACTACCGCACCATGCCCGTGAAAACGTGTGCATTTTACGTTTGCCTTTAAATTAGCGATTTAAAAGCCCCCACCGGTGTTGTCACACGTCGATTAACCGGTGAGAACATATCCTCACCATCACAACCCTAGTGCTGGTTATGTTTGTGAGACAATCAGCTGATTACTATTATTATATTCTATATGATGACCCTTGATCCTGACTATGGTTTTGTAAACTTTATCCATGATGTGGTTTATAATGGACTGTGGTACAGAAAGAGTGACAATGTTACAGACTCTCGGCTTACTCTGGCTATTCTCTGCTGTCTCAGACGACGATATGTTTGTCCCATTTTAGCCACCATAGCTTCTTCACAAGGTAGGGGTGAGTAGTGGGCCAAGCCCTTAGTGCAACTCGCAACCGAACCGCTAGATGCCGCTAAAATCTACATGCTGCACCTTTAAGGAAAATGACTTATGTTACTTACAGTACAATTTTGTGTGAACAGCACCATATGTGAAAAGCACCTTTACACTACAACATTTCTTACAGTAGTGTAACGCAATGCAGTTTCTATTTATACCCGTGCATACAGTACGGTACCACTTACACTTAGTGTAAATACCCTTTGCTTTATTTGAAGTAATTCAACTTCCGTCATTTATGTACAGTATAATTAGAGTCATGTGGAATAATAAATGAATGCTGCCAAACTAACTAGATCCATTTCAGTTCAACCAAAACAATTATTTTTTACTATCTCTGGCTGCAACAAAACCATATTTCTGTTTCTCATAATAATATTTTTTTACCTTTTGATTTTTTTTCCTCTTTAAGCAAAAAATATTTGACAAAAAATGGCTTGGTTATATAAAATATCAAAGCCAGAAAATACAGCCATATATCCGCAGAGTAATTTAATGGTTATTCTAAAGGGGGCAAATGATAGGATATTATTTAAAACCGGTGTTAGTCTTAGAGAGCCCAACCGTCACCTTGAACATGATATGAATTTCATGTGATGTAACGAACAAATTTTCGTTGTATGTTGTGATTAGAATATTATGAAAACATAACGTGGCCTTGGTGTCTGCATGTGCTATGTTGATACGAATATTATTTACACAGAGCAAGGGGGTAAGTCTTACACCCGACTATGACCACTGTGAAAGAAATTGACCCCTGCAAAGAATAACATGCATGCGTAACTTGAGCTCAGAATAATGAACTTGCTCTGACCTTTTGTAAAGCTGAACGGTAAAGTAATGTAGTGGACTATGTCTGGGGTAGGTGTAAGCTGTCCACGAGATACTGTACAATAGCTATCATGTCAAATCAGAGAAAGAAAACATAAAAAATATAGGAAAGAAGTTCTATTGTTAGATATATGAACTTCCAAGACTCAGGCATTACCCAAGAGCCCCAGTGCAGATATCGTCTTGACACTTGCTCTCCGAGATAGCTCCCTTAGCCCCTTTAAATCTGCCTTTACATGTCACAAATGCTTTATGATCCATCATAATCAAAGCTATCTGCCGCCTTGCTCTTTTAAATAAACAGACAAATCTGACTTATCTTTGTGTTTGAGTTAGAGATATGTGTGCATTCCTTTGTGACAATGTATGTCTTTGTCAGACACATCTAAAAAATAGAATAACTGTGTTTCTGTTTTTTTTTTTTAACAATGCAGTGGATGTGTTTGGGTAGCAGTTGGTCATTAAAATAAATGTACACTACTGGCATGGAATACAGTATTGGTGATTGATATTCAACAAAAAAGGACTGACTTTGCAATATATTGTTTTAATGCTATAAAAAGAATTTCACCAGATGGAAAGAATGATTCATTCTAGAAAATAAAAATAAACTAATTACATAAAGTATAGATGCATACAATAGAACAACGATACAAATGATATAAACAGTGCGTTATCGAATAATCAAATGTAAAATAACACTGCATGGTCTTAACTGTGAATATTGAAAACAATTGGTCTTTGTTAAAGCTACAAAAGTGATTTTCTGTTTGTCTGTTGTTTGATTAATATTAATGACAGATGGCAGAAGGTACATATTAGGCTGCTCTCACATTTATGACCTATAACGCATGCATCCAAAATAATGACACACTCCTGTTTTGTTTCTTAAAGGGATATTCCTCTTTTTTTTTTTTTGGAAATAGGCTCATTTTACCAGTCCCCCAGAGTTAAACAGTTCAGTTTTACTGTTTTCGAATCCATTCAGCCGATTTTCTTTTATTTAGAAGAATATCAGTAACCAGACAGTTTCTGGTCTCATTGACTTCCATAGTAGGAAAAAAATATCAATGAGACCAGAAACTGTCTGGTTACTGATATTCTTCTAAATATCAAAAAATCGTCTGAATACATTCGAAAACGGTAAAACTCAAATGTTTAAATCTGGGGGACTGGTGAAATGAGCCTTTTCCAAAAAAAAAAAAAAAAGTGGAGTATTACTTTAATTGTTTATGTTCACTTAAGACAAGCGACTGTTTGCGAGGATACTCGTGAGATGGGTATGTTGACAATTTTTCATGTATGTGTTGTGTCTGTTTACACACAAAAAGTCGAGAAATCGAACTGAAATCAAGTTCTGAATAGATTTTTTTTTTATCGTTGAAGGTGGTGAATTTGTTCCAAAATGTGATTCGGCCATTTGAAAGTTCTTTAAATGATGATTTTAGAGAGGATTTTACTCAACATGCCAAAGCACAGAACACTGTCAACCCGTCCAAGCCCTCACTGACAAGTCTTTTAATTCATTCCTTGGTGAACCCCGGTAAAAATCTACATAAACCCACAAGTTAGTTGTTGGACAACAATGTGGAAGCCTCTCCATCCCCTCTTTCATTCGTTCATTAATTTGCTCGTTTGGGATCTTTTTGAGAGCCCTGTGAATCCTTGTTCTTAATGATTCCCTGCAGGAAATATTGTAATGAAGATGAACTACAACAGTTTTTTTCTCTCTCTCCCACAATTTCATGGCACTCTGTTGACTAATGAAGCAGAGATTCAGACATGATCGTCACCCCAGCCATTCAGCTTTACAATAGTGTTTGTTGTGGAAGCAAGAAAGAGAGACGGGGACAGAGCAGATGAGAGATGGTGTGAGAAAATAAAAGAAAGGCATTTGAAAGAAGGCTGAAAGTGGCTGCTCTCATCAAGCTGACCTTTTGTTTAGAGACAAACAGATTTAGAAAGAGAGAGAAAGAAGGTATGTGTGTTGGTGGACAAAAGAAAGGGCTTGAATAGAGCAGCAGCTGATGCAGAGCTGCTAAAATGCATAGACATGCCTGAAAGAGTCCACAGTAAAGCAGCTGAACATTTGTCTGGGATTTAACAAGACCTCAAACACCGCACACACACACACACACACACAAAGATGCCCAGCCACTCCCTTGGATGTCCCTTAACTGTCCTCTCCATCACAGGTCCACAGCAGGAGAATCACGAGGACTGCTGGGGGGGGAAATCAACGGAACAGACATCTGCATCTCCACCAGGTCGGGATGGGGCATTTCTCCAGTGTCTGGTGGTCTATATTGATGATGCTCTTCTTCTCTCTGCCCAAGGTGGACTGCATGAAGGAGAGTGTGCCTAGAGTTAAACTTGGCTACAAAGGTAAAACGTGTCCTTATGTGACTTCCAGACTTCAACATTCTCTTTATTCCTAAAAGCTTTTATTTTTCTCTGTGTCGACAATTTCTTTTTAGAATCGTCTATTAAATCTTTAGTGTTTTGCTGAATTACCATGTATTTATTTTAAACATCTCCTGGAACGTTAGTCATTTTAAAGGTCACATTTTGAAGTACATTTTGGAGTGTGATGAGAGGTTTACAGTTAACTTGTATGAGGTCAATATTTAGACTGAACATGTGACTGATTGAGTGTACATAAGGGATGTGCTGCATATCACAGTACCAGTATGCAAGTTTTGTATATTGTATATACTGGGAACACACACACACACACACACACACACACACAGAGAGAGCTATCTAAATGAAGATATATGCCTTAGACGTTTACTCTTTTTTTTATATTAAGCTATTTTTAATGGCTATATAGTTAAAATAATTCCTCGATGAAAACTTTAGAATGATAATACTTTTGCTTCATGTTTTTTTACAACACAATAGCAAATAGATTGCACAAGGACACAATAGCAAATAGATTGCAATGATCTGGCAACAACCTACAACACCCTAGCATTGTGGCAGCAAGTTTTGTACAGGTGAGCACCACTCAGGGAAAACAGGGAAAATCTGAGAAATTTGTTGATTGTCGATATTTCGGATGACCTTTTATTGCGTGGTTACGCTCAAGTGATGTGGTGCTGCACCACCATGAAAGTTTGTATTTGCATGCATTTTTAATAGAGCCAGACCGATTTATAGGCAGGCCGATTTTATCGGCCGATATTAGACATTTTCCAAACTACCGGTATCGCCATTTATAATGGCTGATAAATCAATATTTAAAAAAATAAAATAATGGATTTAGAATCGCTAAATAGTAGGTTTTAGAAGGCAGGAAGCAACTGATGATTGAAAATGGTTTGATGTAGCTGGATGGAACGAATTTAAAAAGTGCAGGTAAAGGGATAAAAAGCTGACGTTGTAATTATAAGGTAGCTTATAAGGCAATGTAGGGACTAATTATTTTAATTATCAGAACTTTAATATATTTTGATGTTCCTCTGTTATGTTGTGACAATAAAAGAAACAAGTTTCTTTTTAAAATTAGAAAATTTTAGTTAACTTGTTGCGCGTTTCTAAAAAAAAATATATATATATCTATCGGCCGATATATCGGAATATCGGATTTTAAAACCAACAAATTTTTGTATCGGTATCAGCCTTCAAAATCCTTTATCGGTCAGGCTCTAATTTTTAAGCCTTGCCCGTTTAAATGTTTAGGTGAAATGTGAAAGAGAACTCAATCAATTTGGTACTAACGAACTGTTTAAGGCCTTGTCCACACGGACACGGGTATTTTTATAACCATGACTTTTTTTACCACACGGAGACGGTAAAACCAGGGTTTTTGCCTTGTGACGTCAGAGTGTGCGCCCGCGCTGCGCTGTTATCTGCCTACCGGAACCTGTAATAACTTTTTGTTAGGCTTCTGATCGGCCAACATGGCTTTACGGTTAGGTTATATTGCCGCCTGCTGGTGTGTCATGCTCTTGACAGTGCTTGACGAGGACGAGGGCCGTGAGAGAACGGCACGAGGCTGGTAGCGTGATTACTAATGAGCATCTCCCGCACCGGCCTCATATCTCAAGGAGGAGCTACGGAAGCATAAAAGAACGAGCGAAGACAATGAAGTACGAGAGAGGAGAACCAGCCTTCGCTCATTAGTAATGACGCCACTGGTCACTTATTAGTAATCTCACCCTTGGCCTCGTCCTGCTTGCCACAAGTTTCTTTGTTTTTCATCACTATTTCCTTGTCCTCAGTAAGCTTGAGAGCTTGTTTACTATTAGTTTTTGCGATGATATCAAAAACGGTCTCAAGAATTGTAACACATTACAGTAAGGCTGCGTTCACACAACAGGGGCTTAATGCTCAATTCTGATTTTTTTTTTTTTGTGAAAAATGTTATTTTTTTGCAAGACCATTTACATTTCCAATTAAATGCGACCTTTTGTGATTTCCTGTGTGAATGTGAAATGACCCAGAAGTGACCCACATGCGCAGAAGATTACTCAGCGGTCAACAGCGTCATTTGTTGTTTGCGGAAGTAGCTAAACATCAAGTAGCTCATTTAGCAATATTAAAGTTATTTTGCCAATAGAGCCAGAACAATTACAATCTTCTTATTCCCGCCTACTTCAGCGCAGAATTACGCCGTTTGTCGCATATTAATAACGTGCGGGTCTGATACATGTGACCTGGCCGTTCAGATTGAAGTCGCATTTCAAAAGATCGGATACATATCGGATTTGAAACACATACCCAAGTGGCCTGGGTCACATTTGAAAAGATCAGATCTGTGTCGTTCAGACTGTCATGAAAAGATCAGATACAGGTCGCATATGGAGCAAAAAAATCTGAATTGGGTCGTTTCAGCCTGTAGTGTTAACGTAGCCTTACTGGCTGCATCTCTTGTGGTATTTGCTTACCAGTGGGCGATATGGAAAAAATATCATATCACGATTTTTTTAGGAAAATCACGATCACGATTTTTTATCACGATTCTTTTTCAAGTTGGTTTTAATATTTTGCAAGTGGCTGTTCATTACAGCCAAACTAATGTCCCTATGTTAAAAACAAAGCCTTAGGTAACAAAAGAAAAAAGAAAGCCACACATTTAGGCCAGTGGCGAAGATAAAAATCTTTGTCATTATTTTCTTTGTTATTAAAAAAAAAAGACAAGATAAACATTACACAAATTAATATTCATTTTAAATAAATAGTGCTTTATTTTTTCAGATGCAGTAGGTGTATTTAGCAGTAGCATTGAAGTAATTAAATGAACAAATATGAAATTAAAACACTACATAGACTTCACTGAATAAATTGATTCTTATTAAAGATATATTAAAGTTCTCAGTCAGTGAGTGATTTTCTCCTTGTGTTTTTTTTTTTATTAACACTAAAGGGATAGTTCCCTCAAAAATGAAAATTGTCTTAATTTACTCTCTCAAGATTTTAAACCCGAATAAGTTACTTTCTTCTGTTGAAAATAAAAGTTATTTTGAATAATGTGGGTAACCAAACAGTTGCTGGTCTCCTTATAGTTTTTTTTTTACAGGTTCTCTCCTGTCACCGTCCCACAGGTGGGACGTTTGCCACTATATTTTTAAAACAATAATATCTTAGTAAATACCTTAAATAATATTGACAAACTATATATCATTTGAAAGCTTACAATCTCTAGTTTCCATATTTGGTGACTGATTTTCAAAATATATTACAGAGGAGCCATAATTTATATAAAACAAGAATATTTTCATACTCATAAGGCGTGTTCAGACCTTTATTTTAAAATAGCAGTAAACATGAAAAATCATGAAAAAATGGTAGATACCTCAGTTTGTTTTCATGCCAAAAGTTCAAAAGATAGAATCCATTCAATTATGTTGGAAAAAAAAGGTCTGAAAAGTTTAAAATATCAAGAAAAAAATAATAAATTCACCATTTGTGTCGTGGCAGCTAGCTATGACTTACATGCGTGTTCTTTGTATGTGTTTCCTAGAGGTTCAATTCATATCAAAATCTGCCAAACTTCCCATGCTACTCCTGAATAGGATCTCTACTTCAGAAATTGTATGAAAATTGTGAAAATAATGGTTCATATCATTTAAAACACGAATGGAAATGCAGGCGCCCTTATATGGGCAGTAATGGAGTCTGATTGTGCCCTAGTGAAAAAGTTTGGTACTGCGCTCAAACAAAATCTTACTGAAAGCTCATTTTTTGAGATATCAACCTAAAATTTGAAACACAACTTGTTCAGATTTTTGGCTTTGATCTTTCTGCCGTTTTAGAGTAGCCCAGGTTTTGAAAATATATATTTTATGTAAAATATGAATAATTAATATTTTTACATTGTACATTTCCATAAACTCAAACTTCTATAACTTTTTTTCTGTTTCACTTTCTTAATTTATTTCACTTCTACAAAAATCTGCCAAATGTCTTCTTTAAAACAAGACCAATCATATGTCTATATTCCAAAGCATTCTTGAATTACAACCATTTAAGTTCGAAATGTGCATTTTCATGTCTATTCAAAAAAGGGGGGGTTACAGTTAACAGGTTAAAGGTTCTCTGAGCGATCCTGGGTGTTGTTGACGTTCGGAATATTTTCAAACAAATCGGAGGCTAGCTAGACCCTCCCTCCGCCGCATCTCATCTCCTCCCCCTCCCTTCCGTCCTTCCTGAAATAATTGTGAACGTGCATAGTTCTAGCTAATTATATCCTTGTGTGGGTTTGGCGAACATAAAGCGTCAATTTAGAAGAAAAAAAAACAATTTAACGTTACCCACCTGTCCAGCAAAAACAGAGCAACCTGACGTCGGACTGGAAGCCCTTCTGCCGTCGGAGTTCTCGCCATCGTTCAAAAGCTTTGCTACCGATGTAAATTCGGAACTTCGCACGTTCTTTATCCGACTCCTTCTTCTTTTTAATTTGTTCTTCAGAACGACGTCTATTTGGTCGTGTGTCGGCCATTTTTCAAACTTCCCTCTGATGCTTCTATCTCCTTCACACACACACCCCCTTCATGTGCACGCGCACTAACCCCCCAGACCCACCCTCAAATACTTCTTGCCAGTGATTGGCTGGAACACTGTTTGTTAGGTTTCGTTGTCCGGGTGAGACATGATTGTTTTTGTTGCCGTTTGTGGAGCCTGTGGTGTCTACAGAGACCGCGTTTTTTTACAGTGTGTTTAGGGGACAGGCAGCTAGCCGATAGTGAGGAGACGTTTGATGTATGCGACAAAAAATGTTTTGGCCCCACATCGCTTAGAGAACCTTTAATGGGGACCAGCAACTGTTTGGTTACCCACATTAAAAAAAAAATGTCTTTTGTGTTCAGCACAAGAAAGAAATTAATACAGGTTTGGAACAACATTAGAGTGAGTAAATAATGACGGATTTTTTATTTATT